TATTTCAATGCAAAAAACACCCTCTTATATTCGGGCCAATACGGCATATAGTGTATATAGTACTTCATCTCTTATCTATGCACTGCTTTTACCTGGTGCCTGAGAGATGAACAGAACAAGGTGAAGATGATATGCTCTGAAAACTGCACTTGCCAACTCACAGATTTTCTTTGTTCAGTTCAACAAATTACCGGTATGTTTTGTTCAATCTGCTTTTAAGCTGTCCACTGTAGTAACCGCTGTCCCTGAAAGGGTTAAAATAATAAACAACGGTCAGGAGGGTGACTGGTCTCATCGAACTGTCGAGCCCTCATGACAATAAAGATATATGTCAAAGCTGCATAAGACTTAAGAACAAATAAATAAATTAAAGAATGAAAAAAAACTGTACAAAAAAAATAGCTCAAGTCAACAGGACAATGTGTGCGCAGTTGGATTTGACACAGAACACTCATATTTTTGGGTCCTTCCACCCAAAATGCGTATCTGGTATGAAGGCATGTAATTGTCAGACGATGGTAGAATCTGTGCAGCCATGAAAGTTTGCAACTGTGTCGCTGTTCCCTCTTTTGCATACAAGGCATGAAAATAGTTCACATCTGTCGTCAAGAGTATGAGCCTTGTGCCTCGTGACACTCACATTTGAGCCAAGTTTTCGATCACCACCTGTCCAGTGTGCAACTTCAGCAATTATTTTGCCTGCCGACACTCCTCATCATATTAATTGATCTCTGCTGACACATTTTCTCCGATTTTCATCCAATGTTTATGCAGCTTTCGTGATGTATTGGTTCACGGGAATGTTTTTGATTTGTAAAATTGGCTGTACATGCTCACAACGCATTTTGGATACCAGAAAAGTAGTGTTGGACTGAGCTAGCAATTCCACTTCCCTCAGAATAGAAGAAACAAATTGATTGATGAAGAAATTCATGATACAACAAACAGTTTATTAACAAGTGAAGATCATCTTGATACTTTTTACCAGTCTTGCATTGCAGAGAGAATTCTTTGAATTTTGCTTTATATCATATCTGCTAATATCCAGGTTTGTAATATGATGAATGGTAATACCTGCAATTAAACAAATTGATATGGATTTGTCAATTGGGATTTAGTGACATCTGTGCATGTATCGATTTTATGACGTCTGTGAATTTTTCTCCAGTGCCAGGGTTTCCCTACCCAGCAGCCAGTGCAGCAGCAGCAGCAGCAGCAGCCTACAGAGGAACCCACCTACGAGGTCGAGGACGGACAGTCTTCAACACATTCAGGGCGGCTGCGCCACCTCCTCACATTCCAGCTTATGGAAGGTGAGCTTTCTTTTTTAAATTTCTTTATTTACTTTATTTAATTTTAATATTCACTTCAGTTGTTATTTATCTCCTTTGGTCGAATGCTAGTTCTTGTTTCACTCAAATGGCAAGCCACGAATCTCAGTCCTCAGAGCCGGCAAAAACCAGCAAAGCAGTGCATGCCTGCTTTGCCTCGCAGCGATAACCAATTCCCCCACTACCACAGCATGCTGATTTAACAAATAGGCATGCTCCAAGACTTGCTTTTCATGGAGTCATGGAAAATGACTGTCAACTTGGCCTTGGCCTGTGGTGTGACAGAGTAAAATGTCAGAATGAGATGTCATCTACTATCCTTTTACAAGTTCACCCATTGACCAAAATGAAATAAAACATCTCCCCAGCCCCAACAACTCTTGCAGACTCTTTGTTGCTCAGAGCTCTGGAGAGCCATGTGTTGTGGGCAGTCAGATGAAATTATCTACCATTCTGTTGGTCTGTTTTTTGTTGTTGTTGTTGTTTGTTGTTTTTCTCTTTCTAACTGCAAGCCAATGGGCATCAAGAAAGCTGGCTGGGATTCTATTTAAAGATGACTTTATATTATTATGAGGATGGATATTTCCATCCATCCATCCATTTTCTGATCTGATTATCCTCACAAGGGCTGCGGAGCATGCTGTAGCCTAATACCAGCTGTTTTCGGGTAGTAGGCGGGGAACACCCTGAACCGGTTGCCAGCCAGTCGCAGGGCACACATAGACGAACAACCATCCGCGCTCACACTCACACCGAGGGACAATTTAGAGTGTTCCATTAACCTGCCACACATGTTTTTGGAATCTGTGAGGAAACCGGAGTACCCGGAGAAACCCACGCAGGCACAGGGAGAACATGCAAACTCCACACAGGAAAGCCAGAGGAATCGAACCATGCTCGTCCGCACTGTGAGGTCGACGTGCTAACCAGTCGCCCACGTTTCCAATGATCGATTTTATATTTTTGTTTCGAAACATAATACAACTTGCCCCATTTGAACAAGTACAACAACTCTCTAATTTATTTTTGATGGTTTGTTACTAGTGGAATCCAAAGATCTTGTCCACCACAATGAAGTCAAGGCAAGGCTCGGAACATTGTAATGTAGAGCATGCATTGAGTAATGAGGTACCACTCATTTTATCATATTAGCGTCGATGCCACCGCATGATGTTATATAAAATTATTGTATGCGCATTTCCGGTATACACACTGAGGGTCTGTTTTACGGACAAATGCATGGATGCTTCAATCAATCAATCAATCAATCAATCAATCAATCAATCAATCAATCAATCAATCAATCAATCAATCAATCAATAACACCCATTACCCGCATATTAATCAATCAATCAATCAATCAATCAATCAATCAATCAATCAAT